GACATAAAAGTGGTTGCTACACTGAAAGCCTCGTCATTTCCTTAACCTTTACACAATCCTTTTGAGAGATGAACACTCATGTTGAATTAACTGAACATAGGGTTGGAGAACATCATGAAGAATGGGTGGGCACCAAATATTTTGAGCCTTAAAATCTTTTTTCTAAAAACCATGAACCAGACCACGTTACAACCTTCAAAAGTCCTAATTGAAGCAAGGTTATTTTGAAAGCATACTTCAATGAGATAGTGTTCCTGACTCCCATGAATGTTCTAAATAATTATGTTGGTATCATATGTTTTTCCTACACAAAAATAAATGGTGCTCTAACTCGCAAAATTTGTGCGATATCTTTTCAAAATCTTCAAGACTTACATAACTGTTGCATTAGAATTTTCATTCTCATTGTAAACTTTTTCTAACTGCAAAACATTTGTTTGATATCAAGGAAGCTCACATAAGCACCAGTGATGAGTTTATTCTTTTAAGGCCTGAAACTATGTTGAGTAATTGGCGGATCACGTCAAGAAAAAAATCATATCCATGGGCATGTCACCTGAAGACCGTAAGCACGAACATGTTGCTTCTCCCAGTTAATGCTTTTCCCAACTTGTTTGCTCGTTTGGGGCAAAAATTCGAAGATTTTGTTGTGCCGACTACAGTCAATCCGGGGCAATCACGTAGAGATTTGATGAATCTCTCTAAGAGTTTGAAGACACCAGAGCATGGTGAATGCCAGGTCTTTTGTAAAATCCTCTTGAGACGATTTCTCCTCATCAACCAGATAGCTTGGGGCATGTTAGAAGTGAAGCTATTCGCAAGAATTGTCGTGCACCACGCAGCTTATCAGCAGTAAACTTGGGGCATCCAAAATTAATCCCAGGGGCAATCCGGATTTGTCAAGATATGTTTTTCATACATTATCAGAGGGTGGTGTTCCCAGTATCTCCAGCTAAGCATGACTTTTTCCAGCCGAAACAGTGTTCGTGTTGTCATCCTTTCAAGGGATTGTTAGCAATAGAAGACTGGACTTTGGGTTTTCTACCTGAAAATATCTTCCTCTCCAAAGAGATTTAAGCCTTGTAAAAGGACTTTGCTCCAATGATGGCTTTTGTTTTCTATCTCCAGTAATGTTACCATCCTGTTGAGATTAGCCGAGTGTCGAGTTGTACTGTGATGTCTTATCATTTTCTGTCCATTTCCCCTGTCTGTTTTGTCAGCATATACATGACATTCATTTATTCATTCACACTTGCATCATGCGTGCACAGTTGTATTTGTTGATGTCTTTGAGTACGTATACCTTGGTTATGTCTATTCAAATAGCGTATTTGATCTTTCCAAATAGAATGTCAACTTAAGCAGAAAGTGCGCCTCCTTTCTAATTCCCCACTGAGTTAACTCTCGTGGAAGAATCTTGCTTCAGCTTTCCTTTTCCATCTCTGGATAGGATAAATCCCCATTTGAGTTGTTTCCTCATTGGGTGGAGTCTTGTTTGACTGTTTTTCTCTCCAGTTTATTCCTGGATTGAGCTTTGTCTCTTGTGAACGATACCCTGTGGATATCTCTAGGCTGTGAAACCTAGATGAAGAGTGCATTGATCTTGCGTATGTAAATACTTGGTCTCCTCAGGAAGGATTTATTCATGGTTCCCCATTAAAGATGAACTTTATTCCCTAGTAGTGTTATCATAACCTTCTTCTGGAATATCGACGTGACAACAAGCGACTGACTCTTTATTTAAGCAGTTTGATTATTTCTGATTTCTCTACGACAAATGGCGGTCTCTTCATGAGCAGTTTGTCCATCCTCGATGAAATTATTGATTCTCACCTCCAGCAATATCTTCGTGATCTTTTATGGGTATCTTTGAGAAAACAGCAAGCGACAGTCTCTTCATGGACAACTTGTATGTTATCAACACTTTTAAAAACAGCAAGCGGCAGTCTCTTCATGGACAACTTGTATGTTATCAACACTTTTTGAAAACGGCAAGTGGCAGTCTCTTCATTGAGCAGCTTGTACGGAAAATGGCAAGTGGCAGCTTCTTCATGAGCAGCTTGTACGTTAGTATTTTTGGAAGACAGCAAGTGGCAGCTTATCTATTTGAGCAACTTGTGTGTTATTGTTCCCTTGAAAACGGCAAGTGGCAGCTTCTTTATGAGCAGCTTGTGGGTTTTTGGCAACAAGTGGCGGACTCTTCATGAGCAACTTGTGTGCTTTAATATTCTTTGAAGACAGCAAGCGGCAGTCTCTTCATGAGCAACTTGTATGTTATTGATACCTTTGAAAAAACAGCAAGCGGCGGTCTCTTCATGAGCAACTTGTATGTTATTGATACTTTTGAAAAAACAGCAAGCGGCGGTCTCTTCATGAGCAACTTGTATGTTATTGATACTTTTGAAAAAACAGCAAGCGGCGGTCTCTTCATGAGCAACTTGTATGTTATTGATACTTTTGAAAAAACAGCAAGCGACAGTCTCTTCATGAGCAACTTGTATGTTATTGATACCTTGAAAAAATACAACAAGCGGCAGTCTCTTAATGAGCAACTTGTGTTATTGTCACCTTTGAAAACAACAAGTGGCGGTCTCTTCATGAGCAACTTGTATGTTATTGATACCTTGAAAAAATACAACAAGCGGTGGTCTCTTCATGAGCAACTTGTGTGTTGTTGTCACCTTTGAAAACGGCAAGTGGCAGCTTCTTCATGAGCAGCTTGTACGTTAGTATTTTTGGAAGACAGCAAGTGGCAGCTTATCTATTTGAGCAACTTGTGTGTTATTGTTCCCTTGAAAACGGCAAGTGGCAGCTTCTTTATGAGCAGCTTGTGGGTTTTTGGCAACAAGTGGCGGACTCTTCATGAGCAGCTTGTGTGCTTTAATATTCTTTGAAGACAGCAAGTGGCATCTTCTTTATTTAAGCAACTTGTATGTCATAGCACTTTTTTTGAAGACAGCAAGTGGCGGCCTCTTTATTTGAGCAGCTTGTGTATCCCCAACAATAATGTCTACTCAGCAAATGGCATCCCTTCGGAAAAGTCCCGTGGGGAAGTTTGTTATTTTATCCTTTTCAGGCGATATCTTGGTTAAAGAAGAAATGTGTTACCATTCTTGGTAAAATTCAGAAATCATAGATGTTTATCTCCAGCCACAGTACTGATGTCAATCATATGCTTTTCCAGTCTCAGTACTGATGTAAATCATTTCCTTTTCCAGTCACAGTGCTGATGTAAATCATTTCTTTTTCCAGTCTTCGTACTGATGTAAATCATTTATTTTCCAGTCTCAACACTGATGTAAATCATTCAAGAGTCTCTCATTTGAAGTCTATGACTTTGTTTCCCCAGTGGAGTTACGACCTCTTCCTCTGTGGGATTACTGTATAATGTGCTTGGTTTCTCCAGCATAGTCTGTCTCATATGGCGTCATTCCCCATAAAATGCAGAGCATTACATTCATATCATATCATGAACATAATCGCGGTATCTTAAGGCCAAAAATTGTGTACCCTATATTTAAGTCCCTTCAATCTCGTCGAAATGAAGATCCCAATCTTCATATCTCCAGATAGAAGAAACTTAAATAGAGGCAGCTGTTGTACCCCAATTTTTGACCTAAGATCCCATTTTTGTTTTTGCATTTTTTAAAGATAAGTCAAGGTCACGAAATACGGTTGGTTTTAACCTCTCACCTTCGAGCTTTGACTATGCGAAGATTGTCAAGTGTTTTGAACATTTTTAGCCTATGTATCACTAATTTCTAATCGCATACAAAGGTGTATGTTCATGTTTTCTTTTGTTTCATGTGCAGAGACAGGTCTGAATCAAGAGAATCAGGTGTCGCGCCTCAATTAAGGTTTTGAGTCTCCCAAGCCAGAAGTACGGTTGATTGTGGATTCTCGAAGACTGATTCATCAAGGCACACCGTTGCACCCTTAATTTCGCCCCTAATTTTTTCAGTCGCACATTCATACCATATTTTGTCATTTGGTCACAATCATTAGTAAATATCTTCATTCATCACATTTTACATCATTAGTCGTATTTAAGTTGACCAGAAAAAGTCAATTTAAATCAAAGTTTGCATCGTCTTTCAGTTGTAAAATACCTGACATTTCACTTCATGCATTTTTATCTCTTTACTCGTTTCTTGCATTGTTCCAAGTTGTTTATATGTTGATAATAAAATATTTCGGTTTTATAGACAGACTGTTAAAAGCGATTCGACACTATGCGAGAAATTAGCGAGAAAATATTTCAAGTTTTCACCTTTTACCGATCATTTTATGAATCTGCGTTTCGCGTAGATTATGACGGTATGCTCGCTTTATTTTTTCGGTACAGTTCGAAGTCTCGTTTTTAACCTTAAACGTCTGTTTAGCCTGATATTTTTATTATCATTTTATTTCGATTTTGACTTTTTGAATGTTTTTTCTTTAATCTTTGTGACATGTAGTTTATTTTAATGTGTTCATTTTATTTTTTCGAATAAATTTTTATCTGTCTTTATCGTTTTCAGTCATTTTGGGTCTTTATTTTTTTCTGAAAAAAATCAAAAAAATTATTTTAAATTGATTTAATTTAAATACTTTCAGTTTTTTATTCCATTTTTATCATTTAAGGACGTTTTTGTCATAAAAATTATTAATTACACTTTGCTTTTTTCTTATTGGTTGATAGCAATAATTGTGGATTAATACAGATTGAGTTTATTTTGAACGGATGAGATTGATTATTGAAATCAATTTTCTTCTTCACTTTTGCTATTTAAAGAGAACTATTTCTCTTTTGTAGCACACACAAAAAACAATAAAAACAACAACACAATCAAAAACCCAATCTTCTATCAACAACTCACAGTAATACTCCCTCTCTCCACGGCTACTCCCTCTATCCTCTCTTAAATTTACACACCATTTCCATTTCCATTCTACTTATGTTTTTTCTTATTCATTTCCATATTACTCTAGGGTTCCCATCCCAAACTCACTCATCACTGATGCTTGTGTAATGGAAACGGTCAATTCCTGTGATGACAGACACTGTTCCAATGTAGCTGAACAACCTCAACCCATTCTTACTCGTGCCACTGAACTCACCATTTCCTTTCAAGGCGACGTCTATGTTTTCCCTTCTGTTACGCCATAAAAGCTGCAGGCTGTATTGTTACTCTTGGGAGGCCAAGAGACACCCAATACTCTCCCCTCCCTCACTTTTTGCTGCCGCTAAACTATCACCACATTTCGGGAATAAATGATCCTTCCCGTAATTCAAAGCTTTCGCGGAGATTTGCATCGCTTGTTAGGTTCCGTGAAAAACGAAAAGACAGATGCTTTCAGAAGAAAATTCACTACACTTGCCGGAAAGAGGTTGCTGAGAGGATGCAACGGAAGAATGGACAGTTTGCATCATTGAAGGAAGAGTACAATTCTCCTACTGAAAACCAGGATTCTAGCAGTGGTACACCTTGCCCAAAATCTACTGAGCGTAGATGTCAGCATTGTGAAACTGGTGAGAAGTCTACTCCAGTAATGCGTCGAGGACCGGCTGGTCCAAGATCTCTATGCAATGCTTGTGGGCTCATGTCTCTTGAATCTTCCTCAACAGCAACAACCACCACCATATCCGCCTTCCATGCTTTTGCGATTTGCTTAACTAGCTTTGGCACTAAACTGGCTTGTGAGTAATATAATTTGGGTAATATGCTTTTTATTTATTTACTGAATGATATAAAGCTGTTAGTTATTATTTCCTTTTAAAAAAAATATATAAAAAAAAAATTAGTAAATCTTATATTTAGATTTAGTTTAGTATTAATTTAGAATTTTTTAATTAGTTTAGATGTATTTTATAACTTTAAAATATTTAGAATCATAATTAATAACTTTAGAATTTTAATTTAATTAGATATAAATTAGTAATGTTAGAATCTTTAATTAGTTTAGGTATATTTTGATAACTTAAAAATTTTAATTTGTTTAGATCTATTTTATAACTTTAGAACTTCCAATTAGTTTAGATACATTTTGATAACTTTAGAATTTTAATTTAATCTTAGAATTTTAATCTTTAATTTAGAATTAATTTAGTTTTGATTTAAGTTAGTAATTTTGTTATTAATATAGTTTAGATTAACTTAGTAATTTTATAACGAATTTAGTTTATACTTAAACTAGTTTAGATGTAATTTAGCAACTTTAGAATTAATTTAGTTTAGACCTAATTCAGTAATATTAGAGTGTTAATTTATTTTAGATTTAATTTAATAACTTTCGAATTTTTGTTAGTAACTTTAGAGTTTTAATTTAGTTAATAACTTCAAAATTTTATTTAATTTAGTTAGACACTTTAGAATTTAAGTTTAGTTTACTTAGTAACCTTAGAATTTCAAATTAGTTTAGATAATTTTTTAATTACACTTTTCTTTTATTCATGATTCTTCTTTGTCCATTCATTTAGTTTCTTACAATTTATCTTGTTATCTACCTTGTTCGTTTCTCGTGGATTTTAATTATTTATGATTTCTTACTCGAATATTAGATCTACCTGCTTATGATTAATTCCAAGGGAAATCTTTCAACTCAGCTGACTTCATGTCATCAAATACATCTTCTACAATCGTGCGAATACCCTCATTCATTTTTTGCTTATTTACTATTTTTCCAAACTTAAGATAATTTTCCCAAAAGACTCCATTTTCAAACTCATACCTTTTAAATCAAAACTTCGACATTAGGTTATCACATCTTCAAAATCTCGCCAACACCTATTTTTAGCTAAACGAACCATTTTAATCAAACAAACAATTTTAACCAAAAAACAGATATTTCAAAAGGTTCCTACGGAGTACCGCAGATGCATTGGGTGCTAATACCTTCCCATTGTATAACCAACCCCCGAACTCTCGATCTCTTTTAAAAAAAACGTATTGTATTTTCATTACTTCTAAATATTACTTTACATTGCATATTTTAGGGTTTTATTTTGCTCTTATCCCTTTTCCCTTAGAAATAATAAAGCGCGGTGGCGACTCTTGCTTTTGTGAGTCAAGTTAATTAATAGCTTGATCTCCGATTTTCACCGCTACATAAGTGACTTACTACTGTTTGCCATGGTCAGGCGTATCAAAAACGAATGATCAAAGCTTTCAACAAGAAAGTCAGAAGACAAGTATATCAAGTCGGGGATCTTGTAATCAAGCGGATTATCTTGCCGCAAAGTGATCCCAGGGGCAAGTGGACTCCTACCTACAAAGGACCATTTGTGATCAAAAAAATCTTTTCTGGTGGGGCAATGATCCTGACCACCATGGACGGCGATGACCTGCTGCACCCTGCGAACGCAGACATAGTCAAAAGATACTTCTCATAAAACGACCCGACAAGTTGAAAACCTGAAAGGGCGACTTGGGCAAAAATGGGCATCCCGGTGAATCGAAAACCCGAAAGGGCGGTTCAGGAAAAATTAGGGATAAATAAATAAAAAATCTGTACACCCGGCAAGTTGAAAACCCGAAAGGGTGACTTGGGCAAAAAAGGGTTTCTCGGTGGACTGAAAACCCGAAAGGGCGGTCCAGGAAAAAGTTAGGGAAGTAAAGCGTATGACTAAGTCTCGTCGAATCATTTTAAGGACAATCTCTTCACAGACAAGCTCCAGGTTTCTGATCAATTCATTCATCGTCAGACGAAGCAACGAATGGACAAGATATCCAGAGTTACGAGGGCTATAGCAGAATGGGAACCCCATAGAATTTTTACACATATCCATCTTTCTTTGTATAAATGTTTCTCAATTTTTTACGACAACATTCTCTTACTAGGATGTCTGTCTCCTTTGTACAAAATACTTACAAAAAGTTAATACAAAGATACTTCAAAGTGTAGAAAACTATTTGCCTTTTATTTTTCTTTACACTTGTGTTTTATTTAAAAAATGTCCAATGACTTATTAAATGAGCATATGTATTTGAGTATAATCACTGTTTACAAATAAACGAAAGTGGGAAGGAATAATTACTGATAGGTTGGAAGTATAGGAAAACGTCTTTAGGCTATTCCAAGTAAAATCCCCTGCAGTACATCATCAAGGTCCCCAGTGGAGCCAAAACCTTGAAATATATGCCCCGCAGAGTTAAAATTCAAAATCCTCACCAGAACTAAGTTTCCAAACTCCCAATCCCAGTGGAGCCAGCAAACTTTGAACTACAGACCCTCAGCAGAGATGAAACTTTCTTCCCCAACGAAGTCCAAAACTTCAACCCTTAAACCCTGGTGGAAGACCATCTAGTTTCCTCCAATTCCCCAGGGTGTTGTCTTAAAACCATAAAATTCCCCTGTAAGTTATCTTAAAACCTGACAGCTAACCAGACCACAGCTTCAGATAATTCCTCAGAAGATTGGCATACAACCCAAGCTCTTGAAAACTCTCCAACAGAATAAATTTTCTCCCCACAGAGTTATTTTCCCAATAGATTGAAGATTCTCAATCCTCAGCCACAGTCATCAAGTTTCTCGGGATTCCCCAAACAGGTTTCTCAAGCAACACTTGGCATTATTCTTACAACAGAATATATATCATGTTCCAACTTAAAAGGACTTGAAGGATCCCTATATCCCCAGGAAGTCGTAAAGGATTCTCACATTCCCACAGAAGTTGTCAAAGTTCTTGTTAATCCCCACAAGTTACCAAAGATTTTCTATCCCCAACAGTGGTCCAAGGATTTCTCATTTTTAGCAATCAAAGGTTGTGGAATTCCCGACATTGGTCCAGGATTTATTTTCCCCAACAACAGTCAAAGTTTTTACTATCTCCAGCTATCAAGGATTTATTTTCCTCAGCAATATAGCTAATCAGCTTACATGCGCATACATTACATTCATATATCATAAACATTGATAGAACACATTTTATTGCATCATACATGTCATGCAACATAACTTTGTGTTTCAGCTAACTTTTTACCCTTTTCAGGATAAGATTAAAAACTATCTTTAACAACTATTAAAAGATTTCAGATACAGTACGGATACACTCCAATACATGGAAGTCATTCTGCTACTCATTCAAATCTCTTATTCAGATACAGTATGGATACACCCCAGATACGGAGGTCATTCTACTACTCATTCAGACTTCAGCAATCAGATACAGATTAGATATGCTCCAGACACAGAATCCATTCTATTTCTCATTCAGATTCAACTATCAACTTCAGGTTCAGATGCACTCCAGACACGGAAGTCAATCTGTCACTTGTCTAGATCCCAGTTACAGTACAGATACACTCCAGACACGGATGTCATTATGCTACTCATACAAATATCAACTTCATATACAATCCAGATACGCACAAGACACAGGTTCCATTCTATCACTCATTCGGAATTTATCCCCAGCCCAGAGAGGCTCCGTACACGAATGATATTTTGTCGCCCACTCAGAATTCAGATACAATACAGATACACTCCAAACACGACAGTTATTCTAATATTTATTCAAGAATCGAATGCAGTTACAGCTCAGATACGTTCCAGACACGGACGCTATTCCTTTGCTCATACAGATCCAATCTCCAGATACAACTCAGATACGTTCCAGATACGGATACCTTTCTGATGTTCATTCTCCTAATATTCAACAAAAATTTTGGATGGCACCTCTAAGCCCATCTCCAGCAAGATTATATCATCTCTAAATGGCATCTTTAAGCCCATTCCCTCAACCTACATTTTGACGAGTGCAAATTTACGGGCACTCTAGTGTCCAATCCTCTTTTACCTTCGAGTCACGAAAGGCAAACTCGCCAATCTAACTCTTCAGGTTCAAGAAGATTGAACAGGGGCAGCTGTTGTACCCCAAAATTTGCCCTCTCATTTTATCAATATTTCCCCTCACAAGACTCTTTGAACTCAAGACCAAGCTAGGGTTTGCTCTTCTCAAGACATCTCTTTGCACTGATGACCTGGAATTAGGGTTTGAGTTTGCATAGGTATTTTTGGACTTTCAATACTCAAAGTGACTTTCATACTTCATGTTGGACTTATAAGATTGCCTCTCCCAAGTTTCAAGCCTTGAATCAAATTTTTGCCCAATCAATTTGACAGTTGACCTAAGAATCAATTGTGTTGGGGAAAAAGTCAATTGTGGCCAATTTACAGTCAAACCTCATGATTTTTGATCCACATCAACATTATGAGCTCATATGAACCATTTGATCAAGTTTGGATCATAACTCCTCAAGAAATTTGATCAGATCATCAAAAGGGCAAAATGGTCATTTTTAGGGTTTTAACTGTATAAGGGCAATTTCTGATTTTTCACCTAGCCAATGGCAAATTGGGTTCAAGTATGGACTCAAGGACTCAATGGCATCATCTTTACATAATCACAAGGTTCAAAAGATCTCAAAAGCATTGGATTGACAAATGAATTTTCCAGTCAACTGATCAAAAATTAACTGTACACTGAAAAGTCAAACTTTGACTTTTTGGTCAAAATCAAGTGACAAGGGTCATTTTTCATCAAGATGTGTCAAAACATGAAACTTGTTCATCAAGAAACCTAATTTTGCAAATTAGGGTTTAAGATTGAAAAATTTCATAACTTAGAATTTTTCTAAGTTATGAAATTTTCTTATTTTTTCCCAACTTTGCCCAACATTTTCACCATGATGCAATTGGATTCAAAC